TGGCCAGCAGAGGTGATGGTGAAGGCTTCTGGGAGTGGTAGTCTAAGAACATCTGGAGGCCCAAGGTTGGGTACCACTGACCTAAACCACTGGGGAATCCAGACATCATATCCAAGCATAATACATACATATTCGAGATAGAAATTAATCCTACAATACACTATTTTACAGCTAACAATTACTTAATTTCAGCTATAATTCCTTAATTTTAGCATGTATAATACAAACAAAATGAAACTAAAATAAAAGTATTGTGGAATCTTTTAACAGCTTTATACCAGTATGAGCTCTCACAGATTATGATGGATTGCAATCTGCTTGTCTGTGGAAATGGATCATGGATCGTAATCCATGAAAATTTACACTGGAAAAAATCCATTATTCTTATGCAAGCCGCCTTGGATCTTTTCAAGGAAAAAGGTGGAGTAAAAATATTTTAAATAAATATTAAATTAATAAATAAAGGTATGGTAATACTTCTGTTTCTGTGATACATGCTGAAACTGATTTATATGGCTACTTCTTTAAAAATATTTACTTTTAGTAGTTTCTGTTTTGGACTCTAGCAGTATTTCTTGAAATGACCAGAAACTACATGTAACTTATTTAAAATTCAAGTTACATAATGTGTAGATTACATGTACATGTGTTATCACATGTCAAAATGTCAAATCACCTATGATGTCTAAATCCATGGTGTAACAAAGAATAAGGAAGTTATAAAGAAGAGAGCCACAAATTTGAGTTCCAACTCAAGCATGAACTCCTCACTGTTTTCCACATGGTTCTTGTGGCTGATGATGCTGTGTGAGGACAGTAAAGGAATGTGGGAACTGCCTTAAACTGAGTCAGACCATTAGACTGTTTTGTCCAATGCTGTCAACTGTGAATGGCAGCATTGGTTCCTCAAGGGTTTGGGGCAAGGTTCTCTCTTAGCCCTATCTGTAAACCCCTGGTGTCCCCATAGTGGTTTCCCATCCAGATATTAGCTGATGCAAACTCAGAGGAAAGATGTTGACACCCTGAACTCCTTGGATAAAAAGGCAGAGGATTCATTTGTACATAATGATAAACTGTCTGTCATCTCATCTGAATTGATTTCCAAACTATCTTCAATATGGAAGTGTGCAGGAACAATCATGAACTAACACTTTTAGAAAAATTGGCAAATTATACTAAGTTTAGATAAAGACAAGGAGAAACAGTGTTCAATAAACACAGAAAATGTTATTAGTGCTTTTCTATCATGCAGAGAGATTTAGAAATACAGTACTGTTCAAGATCTCCACCCAGAAGCATTATTTTTCTAATCCAATGGAATATTCTGGCTAGACATTGTACATGCCAAAATCATTTGGAAGATGAGATGAAAGAAAAGAGAACTAATCTAGCAACAGGTGGAAAAGAACAAAATACATGTAGCCAGACAAAATATCCAATTTTTAAAAAGCAGCATCATCAACGTTAATAATATACCCACCCAAAACAGCCTCTTTGTACATAACTGATGTCACTTTTAAAGAAATAAAAAAACAAAGTAATTAAAGAATCCACATTCATATTTTCCACCTTCTATGGAAGTTAGATCAGCCAATTTCACACATAACAAAACATGCAGGACAGCTGCCGGAGAGGATGAAAACATATCTATTGCTCCTCAAAGCCAATTAAAACCTTGGTGGTGCAAATTTGCTTTAGGTCTGTTCATGATGTTGCATCCCAAAATCTGCAATACGAAAGTAGTATGCTGCAATCCCAAAACACTCCTTGCAAGAAATCCAGAAATGATACCAATAACAAAACTTTGTTTTGTTTAACCTTTCCTTAGCTAAATCCCGCTTTCCTATCAGTTCATGATCTGATTCTATCATCAAGAGCTGCATATGGAATAATTGCCCTCTCTCCCTCAGCCTCTTAATCTGCAAGGACAGAAGACAGCTAACTTGAAAGTGAAGAGGACGGTATCTCCTTACCCCCAACTCACCAATGTTTCAAGACCACATATAACACAGTCATCAGGTGTCTTGTTCTATGAGAGATTTTACGATCTTGAATAGGGAAAATATATGCAAGAAAATTAACTTCTACATGAAAATCACAATGTACAAAATTACTACCATATATGTGGTACTCATGTGATACTTGAAAATAAATAAATACAATTAGGAGCAACTTCAAATATACTGCAGTGGAACATCCCACTCTGGGAATTAGCATAACTAAAAAAAGACACAAGAATTACCCAAGTGGGGATAAAAGTTTCCAGTCCTGTACCACCTGCAGCTCAATTTCATCAAGTGCTACCATAAAAATTTTGATGTAACCAGGAGGAGCCCAGCAGGGCAACATGAACCACACAGGTGATCTAATGTAACAAAGTAACACAAAGACCATCCTTTTGATGGAATTAATCGCCCTAACTACACTTCCTAAGCATAGCCCAGAGTTCCTCCCCACACATTATGACAATCCTTGGAATTCTGCACAAGCATTCAAAGTGAGTACTGGGATAAAAGCCATGTTCTAGAGATGACACGGGCAATATGACTGTTTCTGCAGAAGTTGGGATCCTACCATTGAATCATAAGGCCTACTACCAAAGCAGGGAAGTTCACAGGTAACAATATCAGATGAAGAGGCAAAAAGGAAGGCCACACGGCCAGCGTAGTACCTAAGGATGGCACAAAAAAAGGTACTGTTCACAGAAATATAACAGCATACATTGGAAAGACAGCTGCAGAAATTCACTGTGTTCTCTTTATATAATTTAAAAATACAGTATTCACTAAATGTGCACATATCATATTTGGACTTATCATTTTAACATCAGTTTTTCATACAGAACTCAAGAGTTCCTAATGACAGGCACCATGAAGACAGGCAGACATATATAATTGTTTTTTTTTCAAATAATATGTTTGCCAATGTATGTTATTAAACCTGTACAGTATTACAGGATGTACCTATTTTAGCATCACTAACCCATATGGTACTTGATTCAGCTCTCATATTAGTAGTTATATATTTTGAAAAGAATGGCACACAGCCTTTAAGCTGCATATCACAGGCTTTTTTGCAAGGGAAAATAGAAGCTGATGCACAAAATGTGTGCAGAGTTACATAAATATGAATATCAATAATCAATAGCAGGTTTGAAATTATACTCGTAGCTTTTATAAATGATACTGAGGTAACTTTAAGCATGCTAAAACCCTAGCTATGTTAAATATTCTTAGCTATAATTCTAATTATGGTTTCACAGCAGCAAATATGGGCAATGTTACTTTTTTGGGCTGCATCACCCAGAATCTCACAGGCAACAAAAATAGTGGCCATGCTAGTAGGATTTGGGGGAGCTGTACTCAAAAAAGTAACACTGTCCTTCTCTGCACTGGAGCAAATCTCATTGAACTTGGTGATACCTGCTTCAAAACTAACACATAGAAAGTCTGGCTGTAAATGTACTGCCACTCCAATCCAAAATAAACATGAGCCAACAAACCTAAAATAGCATTCATTGGAACTCAGACAATGTCAAACTAATGATAGCAACAAAAGCTGGAAAGATTATAAGAAAACAAACTAATATAACGTTTTTACTAAACAATGCTGTCCTAAAATGTTAGGTGACACTTAACAGTTTGACAGATTCATTGCGTAAAAAGCCACAGCATGTGTGGAAAGCAAAGGGGCAATCTCTTTCAAAGCTTAAATTGCTACATAAACAAGTAACATATTAAAAACCATTTAACAAACTCCAATAACACAGTAATAATTATAACATTTTAGGGGGCACAATCACATAATTGATCACTCTGGATCAAGCTTGAAAGAAACTGGACAGGCTACACTGTATTATACCTGCACACAAAAAGCAACAGATATTTGCCACTGCAGTGTTATGTCAAAAATCCACACTGCTGTGAGTGTTTATCAGCTGGCATCACCTCTCCCTGACAGGAAGGGTGGTGCATGATTGTCAACTGCTTTACCACTGTATGTCCTTGTTCTCCCCTTGATTTTCTAAACAAGATCCTGCAGTTTGTGACTCAACTTAAGATCTGCTGCTAACGGACTATTCAATCTAGAAACATTTCATTCCAGAGAACCAATTCTCAGCAGCAGGAAAATTTAAACTGATTATAGAATTGCTGGATGCAATGCTACTGTTTTATTGTAACTTTTGATACAACTAACTTCTTAAAATTATGAGTATGGAGTAAATGCAATTTGGACATAATGAATCCTCCCTCTGTACCTATTAAATGTAATAATAATCTTCTCCCTCTCATTCTCTTTTTAGCAAATCAACTGAACACTTAATAAACAGAAATCTTTCATTTTATTTCCTCTGAGTCAGCTACTAGCATTGCTTCACCTTCCCCTGCCTGTTCAGCTTGAAGCAAGAACATCAATATCTAGATATTAAGAAAGTTAGACTGTGGGTAAAACTGTCATGAACAACCTCCTGACTGATTTGTTGTCACCTTTATGGGAGCATTCACATTTTCCTCTCATTCATATCATTTATCCTCTGTTCCTGCTTCCTGTACTGTGTGTCTGTCAACTCTCTCTCTCTCTGCTCAGCACAGGTGAATTTCACATCCTTTAGAACAAACAAAATGTGGCATCATCTCAAAACTCTGCATGGTGGGCTGATTCCATGCTCTACAGAGCAGCAATACCTTCCTTCTCATTTCAGCAGCACATTTCTCTCTCCTCTACACTCCCAACTTTACCAGGCAAGAGCCTTTTTTATTACACAGATACATCTATCCACTCCCTTTCCAATCATACAAACAAAAGTCCATATTCAGAGTATGGTCTCCCCTCCACCCCATTGTACAGCCCTCACTTGATCCCCACAAGTTAGCAGAGGCAACCTATATTGCCACTCATTTAAATAATCAAACTAGCTCAACCTCAGCCTAATCTTTTTAAACCTCTCTCCCCTCCCAAAATAACAAGAGGAAACTTCAGGTGCCATGTCCTCGTCCTACCTTGATGATGCTGGTTTTCCTGGGGTTACCAGATTTGCCTTCCGGGTGCAGGGCAGAGTATCCTCTCTCTGTGCCAGGACTCCCAGGCTGGGCCACCTCTGTGTCCTCTCTTGCTCCCAATACAGCACAATCGCCATTGGAGACCCCATTGCCAGCACTGTCCAAGTGGGTTCTTGTAGCCCCACTACTGCTACTACCTCCACTACCACCTCCTCCACCACCACCACCACCTCCTCCACCTTCTCCATCGCCTGCTTTGAAGGCTACTTTTCCATGTGCCGGACTTGGGGAGGACGTGATCCCCCCACTGGTGGGGCCACCTCCTCGGCTGCCAAACTCCGCCATCAGCCTCGCCGGCGGTTCCAGAGAAGCAGCAATATTGCCGCCCGTCCTCCTCCTCCTCCTCCTCCTCCGGCTCCCCCCTCCTGCAACAGCAGCTCCGCGATGATGCTTGCGCTTCTTCTTCCGCTTTTTCTCGTCCTCGGTCTATGCAAAGGATCTGAAGAGGCCGGTTGCAAAACTCTTCCTTCTCTGGCCGTCGGTGAAACGGCGAAGGTTGCAAAGCGCCTGAGCGATCTCCGAGAAGCCGGCTCTGCCAGGACCAGCCGAAGGTTTTCAGCACCTGGACTCAGAAAAGGCGGTCGTGGGGAGGCGGGAGAGACAGAGACCGAAACGTGACAATCTGCCTGATCACACATTAAGACTAACCAAAGGGTGATTTAAAAGGGGGGGGGGTATACAAAACTACGTATCACATGCGCGGAAGACCAGGAAGGAGGGGGTGTCAAGGAACAGAGAAGCGAAATGCAACACACGTACCGTCTCACACAAACACACACACACACACACATGCGCTCACACGCGGAGAGGGGAAGGGTTGCAGCTTTCCCAGAAACAAAACAACAAAGACGAGGGGAGGACTGAGGGAGCGGGAAGGGGGGAGGCGACGGGAGTTCACGCATACACACACACACACACATACGTACGTAAGGAACTAGAGTCGAGCGCGTGTGCCTGAGGCGCCTCAAGAGCTAAAGGCGCGGCGGCGGCGGCTACAAGCCGAAAGGAGACCCTTCATTTTTGCATTTTCTGCCATAAGGTGGGGCTGGGAGAGGAAAGGCGACGACAGGAAGAAACACGGCTCGTGTGTGCATTCCAATTGCCTGCCGGAGAAGAGGGCAGGATCTGCCGCCACCCCCAGAAAGGTGCCCCTTCCTCTCCTCCCCTCTGCCAACGCAGCTCCTGGCACTGCAGTGGCGGCCCCGAAACCCTCACCTATTCCCGCTCGCTCCTCTTCTCTCTCACTTGCCTGCCGCTTGAGAGGCAAGACACCCCCGCCTTAGCTCTCTCTCGCTCTCGCTCTCTCTCACTCACACACACACCCCTACGCGCGCACACGCCTCTTCTTTCGAAAGCAACACATGAACTGAGCATGCCTTCCTCGCCGCAGCTCCGGCTTCCTCCCGCGGCAGGGGCACCCATGTGTCAAGATTTGCTCGCGCTCCCCTCCGCCCGCTCCTCCTCCTCCTCGCCATGACAGGAACGAGAGTGGGCGCGCTCTCGGCTGGCCGCCCTCCCAGCTCCCCGGTTCCCCTTCTCCATCGCCCGCAACTCAGGGGCAAGCCTTCTCCCACGACGAGGGTCCTCAAACCCCACCTTCCAGCCACAGACGGCCAGACGACCTTCAAGCCCCCTCCCTCCCCCAATTCCTCTTCTCCGGCTGGCCTGCCCTTTTCCCGCCTCCCCGTTCCGCCGTCAGGGCTGCTTCCCCTCCGTGGCCGAGAAGGCGCACCTCCGTGGCCAGGTGACCGGCGAAATCCGTGCGGCGGCTTTTGCTCCGGCCGCAGCAGTTAACAGGCGCATCGGCGGCTTCCACGCCCTTACCGCTTCCCTGCCTGGGCGAGAAGCCGGATACGCGCCCGAGAGCGAGCCTGGTTCCTGTGGCTGCCCGCTGGGCTTTCCCTCTTCTCTTCTCTTCCTCTGCCTCAGTTGGTTCGCGCTGGGGAAGTCGCCGTGGCAGCGAGAGCCGGAGAGCGCCTACGGCTGTCGGGGGGGG